GGTTAGTCCAGCCCTGGGGAGCCCCAGCAGCCACCGGGAGGAATCCCCAATCTTGCCCGAGAACCCCAGTGGCAGTGGGGCCAGCACCAACTGGGAGGAGACACCAGCCCCAGCCGGGAACCTGGTGGGAGCAGGGCTGGGGGAATCTGTGGCTGGGAACCCTGGTGGGAGCAGCCAGTGGCAGCTGGAGGGAATCCCTGGCATCTGGACAGTCCCAGCCCAAGGATACTGACCATGGGAGCCCCGGCTTGGAGACCCCCACAGCCCAGAGGTGCCTTGACTTCCCCTGGTGCAGGAAACTCCCCGGCTGAGGATCTCTCAGGTCCCGAGGGTGCCAGATCAGGGAGGTCCAACCTGTACACTCCACACCAACGGAAGTGGAGTGTAGAGTGGACATAGCCAATGGGAATGAACAGATTTAACGGCTCTGTTTAGAACGTGTCTGTGCCTCACAGCTTTGTTAAACCACAGTCATTGGCTAGAAAAGCTGGACGTTGGCTTGTTGTACCTGTGTCCGCTACAGGAAGGAACCCTCTGCTATAAGACCTCTTCTGCCTCGGGGGGTGCTCTGGGACCAGGATCCCATAAAATGGGAGTCTTTTTGTTGAGAAGCTTTGCATTTTCCTAAGCACGTGTCTCTTGTCATGGGTATTTCTATTGTGCCCCTTTTGAGATGCAGGGCAGCAAAACCTGGCTTAGAAAATCCAAGTGGGAGCGTGGCATTTGAAGGGATTTTTTAGTCCAGCCTGCCGGCTCCAGGGTTGAAACCTGCCAACGAGCCAACTCGCGGCAAAGGGCTATGCCTCTTTCTTGGGGCTGTCTGTGTCTTTGGTTGTTGTGTGTTAGATTCCTGACTGGAGGCTGAGGAGAAATACAGTAATTACTCGTTTAACACGTGCCCGCTTAACACGTTTTTGCAATAGCACGATTTTTTTTCAGGAACGTTTTTCGAATAACACGACCGTCCCCGAAATAACACAAAAATATTCAAGTTGCGGGCTACTTTGTGCGGTGGTATAAGTTAGTGAAAACAGTGGTAATACGCATGCGTGGATGAATACACGTGGTCCCAGCGCTCCTCCGCTCACTCACGTGTTTATCTTTGTGTTTTAACAAACCGTGGCGACTTGTGTTGCTAGATATCTAATATTGACATTGGCAACCCAGCACCAACAAAAAATTGACTTTGCTACCACCACCATCTGAAACGCAACTCCCACCTTTTCCATTATTTTCAATGGGACGATGGACCCTGCATAGCACGTTTTTGTGTCACAAATGAACGTTTTCAGAATCTCATCGATAGTGTTAAATGAGGAATTACTGTAAAACAATGTTACGCGTGGGCCGTCTAGGAGGGTCTTGGGTTTGTCAGACGCGTGCTGTGAACACAACACAATGGCGGCTGCTTCCCCCCATGAAAAAGGCTCTTGTCTCTCTTCAGGAAATGGAAGCGTTTGTCCAGAGTTCGGGGGAGCATGGCATCGTAGTATTCTCACTGGGCTCGTTGATTTACAACTTAACCGAGGAGAGAAGTAACATGATTGCCTTGGCGCTCAGCCAGATTCCACAAAAGGTCAGTTTCTGTCAGGGCCCGGCCTTGCTGCCGCCAGGGGCAACGGCGTTGCTGCAAAATCCCGCTTCCCTCAGGCCACCGCTTCCAGACTTCGTTGCCTCAGGTGCTTCCCCCCCGTGCTCTGATTTCTCCCTCCTGCGGCTCCAGCCGAAGCCAGCGGGTTTGGGGCTTGCGGAAATGCAGGTCTGAGCCCTGGGTGGTCACAGAAAGTGAATGTAGAATATTTGTCTTACATTGGACTCACTTGAGCAAAACATATGAGGTGAGTTTCGCATGCCACGATGAGGCAGTGTGGGCTAGTGGACAGTGCACAGAAATAGGTTCTATTCCTGGCTTGGCCACCAGCCTCCTGGGTGACTTTGGGTGAGCCACTTCCCCACCCCATGCCTCAGTTTCCCATCTTTCAGCTGGGGGTAATGATACTGGTCTCCAAGCACGTTGCGAGCCATTGTTGACAAGCCCCGTGGAAGAGTTTGGATAAATAATACCTTGGTACACAGGTGTGTGTAAATAAGCGAAGCAGCTCAAACCAAACCTTGCTAACCAAGGGCCTGACCGAAAGCCCATTGAAATCAATGGAAAGACTCCGGTAGATGTCAATGGGCTTTGGATCTGGCCCCAGCTTGCCTTGCAATGCGGCAATGCAGCTTGAACAACGGCGCGTGAATCTTCAAACTTTTTCGTTCAAGGTTCTTTGGAGGTACAAAGGGAAGACGCCGGAAACGTTAGGACCCAACACTAAGATTTATGACTGGATCCCCCAGAACGACCTGCTTGGTAAGACTCTGCGGATGTGTTCCTAGCTGAGCTTTTCTCAGCCCTGAAAGCGTGATCCCTCCCTATTTTATTCTATTAATGACAAAAAGAGACGGGATTGGTCATTGAACACACAGGCTAGTCCTGCAGCCAATAGCAGTACCGTCAAGGCTGTGTTGGGAGGCTAAGCTGTTCAGTGTGTTCGTTATCTAGTAGGGAGAGGCACTCAGCCTTAATTCCGCTCGCTGATGGTAGCCCAACAAGGATCGGATTCATTCAGTTTGATGTTTAGTTTAGAAAAGGGAAGACTGAGAGGGGACATGATAGCGGTTTTCAAGTCTCTAAAAGGGTGTTATAAGGAGGAGGGAGAAAAATTGTTCTCCTTGGCCTCTGAGGATCAGGGCAAGCAACAATGGGCAGTAATCAGGACAAGCAGCAATGGGCTTAAACTGCAGCAAGGGAGGGTTAGGTTGGACATTAGGAAAAACTTTCGAACTGTCAAGGTGGCTAAAAACTGGAATAAATTGCCCAGGGAGATGGCGGAATCTCCATCCCTAGAGGTGTTTAAGTCTCGGCTTGACAAAGCCCTGGCTGGGGTGATTTAGTTGGGATTGGTCCTGCCTTGGGCAGGGGGCTGGACTCGATGACTCCTGGGGTCTCTCCCAGCCCTGGGATTCTGTGATTCTATGGTTCTTAGTAGTTCAGTTTTGGCAGTGAAGGTTTGTTCTTTTAGCGCTCTCTCAGGTACATTGCTGGCCCCCATGGGATCAGTTACACAAGCACAATGGGGAGCTGTGGAGAGAGCAGAACTGTGGCAACAGCCTGCGACTGTCTACACAAGTGGCACGTCTTCCCCGGGGCCAGGGGGCTCTAAACTGCACAGCTCTTGTGCTTTTTTGACGCACACCAGCTTCAGCTGGGGGCTACGACACATCAGGAAAGAGATCTTGGCGTTATCGTGGACAGTTCTCTGCAAACTTCCATGCAGTGTGCAGCAGTGGTCAAAAAGGCGAATAGGGTGCTAGGAATTATTAAGAAAGGGATAGAAAATAAGACCCAGAATATCTTTCTGCCCCTGTATAAAACTATGGTACGCCCACATCTTGAGTACTGTGTACAGATGTGGTCTCCTCACCTCAAAAAAGATATTTTGGCCTTGGAAATGGTTCAGAAAAGGGCAACTAAAATGATTAGGGGTTTGGAACGGGTCCCATATGAGGAGAGGTTAAAGCGACTGGGACTTTTCAGTTTAGAAAAGAGGAGACTGAGGGGGGATATGATAGAGGTCTATAAAATCATGAGTGGTGTGGAGAGGGCCGATAACAAAAAGTTATTTATTAGTTCCCTAAATAGAAGAACTAGAGGACACCAAATGAAATTAATGGGTAGCAGGTTTAAAACTAATAAAAGAAAGTTCTTCTTCACACAGCGTGTAGTCAACCTGTGGAACTCCTTGCCAGAGGAGGCTGTGAAGGCTAGGACTATAACAGAGTTTAAAGAGAAGCTAGATAATTTCATGGAGGTTAGGTCCATAAAAGGCTATTAGCCAGGGGATAAAATGGTGTCCCTGGCCTCTGTTTGTCAGAGGCTGGAGAGGGATGGCAGGAAACAAATCGTTTGATCATTGTCTTCAGTCCATCCTCTCTGGGGCACCTGGTGCTGGCCACTGTCGGTAGATAGGATACTGGGCTAGATGGACCTTTGGTCTGACCCAGTACGGCCGTACTTATGTTCTTATGGTTATAACGATCAGCTCTATCGTTGCTCGCATCAATCCAGTGGCCAGCTAGACTGAATGTGAGCAGGAAGCTGGGCTTTGTCGGTCACGATCAGATTACTACATTGTTTCAGGATGGACCCAAATTCTCTCGGCCCTCGCCAGTCTCTGGTAGTGGTCCGTCTCCATGCAAGTCTCTGCATCTTGCTGTCATGTTTGACTCGTGAACCGCCAACCGGAGGCTTTTTCACAAAGCTGTTTTCGCAGTCATCCTCCATCTCCGTACCATGTAGCTTGTTCTCGGTTTAGGCGCGTGCCTTTTGCACGTTAGGGTTGTCAACTCGCACTCTGCGTCTGGGCATCACTCCCTCTTTTGTAGCTTGTGTGCATTTCTTCTCTTACCTACACACATTCCGCACAGACCTGTTTCATGCAATGATTTCTAAAGCCACCTTGTAACAGGACAGAATAATTCCATCCAGGCAAACAGTGTTACTACTTCAGCGCGGAACACCGAGGTATACACTGACAATAAAGCACTTTCATCAAGTACACTTGTCACAGAGGACAAAGCATCCCCAAATCAGTGTTGCCATACGCAGGTTTGGAAAGAAGTGAGCCAAAAGTGGGGGCAACAGTAAAGCTCCGTCTCAATTGTATGGCTCAAAAGAGCATTTCTGTAAAACTAAAGAGCCAAAATCATGGTTTTGTCCTAGTGTACGTCTCCTTTCGAATCCATATGTGTGCGCGTGTGGCTCCCGTGATAAAAATTAGAGGAAACACAAAGGACAGTAGAAGTTTATATCACTGGAGTTATATTGGGATAAACTGGAGTAATGGGAATTAATCAGGCCTGGCAACTGGGGTGTAGCATTTAAATATAAGAATCTAGAAGGCAGCCACTGCCTTTCCCTTTCTATTTGTCTTTTATTAATTCTTATTTTTATAAAAAAAAAAAAAAGTGGCGAACAGGGAAGTAAAAAGAGCAAAGAAGTGAAAGAGGGGAAGAGATGAAGGGAAGAGGAGAAGGATGAGGAAGGAGAGTGACATCTTAGTTTCCATCCACTAGGGCTAGTCAAAGGTTTCCAAAAGTTTACTGCTTTAGTTTAGAGAATATTTGGTCCAAGGTCCCTCTTCCTAAACCACACTGGCACTTTAGTGTCGCTGTCTGCAAAGTCTCTGAGCTGCCTGGCTATGAAGCACAGTGCTAGAGATCCAAGCTGGCAGGGAGTCGGAGAAGTTCCCAGCTGCTTGGGTAGATCCAAAAGCACACTTCTGGGAAGTAGTTTGCAAGGGAGGGTCTGTAGGTTCATCGTAACCCTCCGGCCTACTTCTAGCCAAATGGCTCATGACCCAGAGCAACCCCAGAATGTATGAGCCACCATGGATCTAGGAGACCTACCTCTCCAGTTGCAGCATAACCATGCCGGGACTGAGTCTGTTATGTTTTGCTAGGGTTCAAGCATAAAGCCATCCCTCACAGAGTAATGAGGACTAGCCCCTTGTCAAACAAACCGTTACTTACCTACTTAGCACAAAACTGTTGCCTTCTTCTCTAGAACCGGAGCATTTACAGACCCGCTGCTCCTAAACGCTGTTCTCCTCCTATTCCAGGCCATCCCAAGACCAAAGCCTTTATCACTCATGGTGGAACCAATGGGATCTATGAAGCTATCTACCACGGGATTCCCATGGTTGGGATTCCCATGTTTGCCGACCAGCCGGATAACATTGTTCACATGAAGGCGAAAGGGATGGCAGTTGAGCTGGATTTTAACACGATGCAAGCCCAAGATTTAATTGATGCACTGAACAGCGTCATTAACAACTCCAGGTGAGTTCAATCGCTGCCCGACAGGACAAGGTTGTGGTAGCTGTTTAGGTCCCAGGTTATTAAGGAGACAAGGTGCGGGAGGCAGTATCTTTTACTACCTTGTCTCTCTAATGGGCCAGGGCCAGTTTATTGCAACCCAGAGGAGACACTGAGGGGAGACTCCCACCTGGTTTCCTCTTTGGGAATGCAGTCACCCAAAATGCTGAATAGATTAAGCCTAAAACAAGTGGTAACCCCCCAAAAGTTCTTGCATGAAGCTTGTCTCTGAGCATGCAGCAGCTCTGAGAAGGGGTGGATCGGAAATGAATTTTCTTTGCACTGTATTTTGCGATCTGTCTGGGAGAGACCTCTTTGACAAGGCCCTGGAGAATGTTTAGTTTTTTGCTTCCTTCGTGGAGCGAGTTTGAATGAAGTTACCCAGCTAATTTCTAACTTTCACATGCTACGGATGAACTTCCTCCTTGGCTAGTTCATGACACTGAGTCGTGGCTTCCCAACTTGCTACAACCAAAAGCCTTACCTCTGGGGGAGTTCTACCTGGCTCAAGCTCTGAACCATCAGATCAGGAAGGAAAACCTTGCGAATTATCTTCCCAGAAGTATCTTTCGCAAGACAAGATGACAATAAAACAAGCTGGATGCTAGAACCCTCTTGCAGCAAACCTGCCAAAGAACTATCATCATGTAATAGCAAAGTGGGGCTCGTTCATCTTTTCAGATCACTTCAAATCGTAACTTGGCCGTGCCTACACTACACAGCTTAGCAGCAGACACTCATTGCAGTTATTAAATCATGCGATTTCAAGTGGAGTGCCCGCCCCAAGGATCAGTTCTAGGGCCGGTTTTGTTCAACGTCTTTATTGATGACCTGGATGAGGGGATGGATTGCACCCTCAGCAAGTTTGCAGATGACACTAAGCTAGGGGGAGAGGTAGATACGCTGGAGGGCAGGGATCGGGTCCAGAGTGATCTAGACAAATTGGAGGATTGGGCCAAAAGAAATCTGATGAGGTTTAATAAGGACAGGTGCAGAGTCCTGCTCTTGGGACAGAAGAATCCCAAGCATTGGTACAGGCTGGGGACCGACTGGCTAAGTAGCAGTTGGGCAAAAAAGGACCTGTGGATTCCAGTGGATGAGAAGCTGCATATGAGTCAACAGTGTCTCCTTGTAGCCAAGAAGGCTAATGGCATATTGGGCTACATTAGTAGGATGTTGCCAGCAGATCCAGAGATGTCATTATTCCCCTTTATTTGGCACTGGTGAGGCCACATCTGGAGTATTGTGTCCAGTTCTGGGCCCCCCACTACAGAAGGGATGTGGACTCATTGGAGAGGGTCCAGTGGAGAGCAACAAAAATGATTAGCACTTGACCTAGTGAGGAGAGGCTAGAGATTTGGGCTTATTTAGTCTACAGAAGAGAAGGGGAAGGGGCTTGATAGCAGCCTTCAACTTCCTGAAGGGGGGTTCCAAAGAGGATGGAGAGAGGCTGTTCTCAGTGGGGGCAGATAGAACAAGGAGCAATGGTCTCAAGTTGCAGTGAGGGAGGGCTGAGAGCACTGGGACGGGTTCCCTAGGGAGGGGGTGGAATCTCCATGCCTAGAGGTGTTTAAGTCCCGGCTTGACAAAGCCCTGGCTGGGTTGATTGAGTTGGGACTGGTCCTGCTGTGGGCAGGGGGCTGGACTCAGTAACCTCACGAGGTCCCTTCCAGCCCTAGGATTCTAGTACCCGTGTGGCTGCGCATCAGCAATGCTTGTCGATTGCATTGCCAGCATGGGGCAGTGTGGGATGGCTCCTGAAAGCCATTAAGTCTCACCGTAAGCAATGCAGTGTCTACACTTACACTGCATCAGCCTTCTGCCATCGCTGTGACGCTACACCGCCCGGGGAGGCGGAGTTACTACAGTCGTCAGAGAGAGGCACGTACGGTGCAAGACTACACTTCCACAGCGAGGTCGGTGCAAGGCAGCTCACATCGACCTGACCCTGTGGGGTGGAGCAGGGAGCTTGGTCAGCAATCCCTTGACTTGCAAGCTGCCTTAGACAGTAGGGCTACGCCTACACTGCAGGCTTCTTGCGCAAGAACTGTTTTACACAAGAGTTCTTGTGCAAAAGGTCTTCCACAAGAGCGCGACCACACTAACATGTGCTTTTGTGGAAGAGATGTGCTTTTGCGCAAGAGCGTCTATGGCAGTGTGGATGCTCTCTTGCGCAAGAAAGCCCTGATGGCCATTTTAGCCACAGGGGTTTCTTGCACAAGAAAATCATATTGCCTGTCTACACTGCCTTTTGGTGGAAGAGCTCTTGTGCAAGAGGGCTTATTCCTCGTGGGAAGAGGAATAACTCTTTCGGAAGAAGCCGTTTTCTGACGCTGTACTGTAAATATACTTGCGCAAGAACGCACGGGTAGTGTAGACACCCGGCACATTTTTGTGCAAGAAAAACTGTTCTTGTGCACAAAGCCTGCAGTGTAGACATAGCCTGGCTGTGTTGGGGAAAGTGCCATTTCAGAATAACCACCGTGTCGTTTTTGTTCCCCTCCCCTCATTCCTTCAGCTACAAAGAAAATGCGATGAGGTTATCCCAGATTCACCACGACCAGCCCATGAAACCTCTGGACCGAGCTGTCTTCTGGATCGAGTTTGTCATGCGCCACAAAGGGGCAAAGCACTTGAGACCAGCAGCTCATGAGCTCACCTGGTACCAGTACCACTGCCTGGACGTCCTGATGTTCTTGCTTGCCTGTGCAGCAGCTGCTGTTTTCATTTCTGTCAAGTGCTGCATGTTTTGCTGTAAGAAATGTGGCTGGGTTGTAAAGAAAAAGAAAACCGAATAGATTTGCTATTCCCATTGGCCACGTTTGTCTCTGCTGAGGCCGTGGTTCATGGGCTCACTGATCCAGACAGGTGCTGCAATACCATGTGTACTCAGTCCCATACTTTGGCGAGGTAGGATCAGGAAAGCCACACACTTAACATAATGTGATGTTTACAATAACTTTCTTTGGGCTTGAATAAGAATGAATCATTAGCTGATCCACCAGTTGGACAGTGATTACACAGGGACTTGTATGCTGTGGCGATGATTTTCAAGAATGTCATGTTCAGGCAGCTTTATTTGAAAAGGACAAAGCCCAGCTGTTCTAGGTCCTTTGTTGTATCTTCCAGCTGCAGGGAGTGAAGTTGATTTGTCTTTAGTAGATCACCCAGAGCCCAAATGTCTTTCTGTTCTGGGTAGACTCTGACCAATGCAGAACTCAGACAAGTTTGCCTAAACCTGCCTGAAAAGTGTGTCAGTGACTTTCTACAACCTCTCCCAGAGTTTTGACAAGCTGGAGTCTCATTTTTTCCTTCACAGAGGCATGACAAC